CATGTATATAATAACTGCCCGAGCAATTGTCTGTGTGTTGGTAGATATGTTGGGTTCCTATATACACAAAATAGTTCCTTTTGACCATGGAGAAGCATCTAATCTGCCCATGAGCCAGTTACTCCCTTTGCCAGATCTGGACCTGTGTCTTCATGCGCGCGTGCACTTAGACTCCTTCATATAACTCAGGGCAACAGCAAAAAGAACGATTCCACGAAGCTTCGACACATCCAGCCTGCTTGCCTACCCACTTTCAAAAGCACTCTGTGTCCCCCGAACTGCATCGTCACCGGCGCTGGCACGTGAGGCACCTGAGGCGCCTGAGGCACCTGGGGCGCCTGTGGCACCGGTGCCAAGTGGCGGTTGGTCAAAATCCCAGGTGGTGGGATTGTTGGCTCTTCAGATCTGATCGGTCAGCGGGGCTGCTTCTTCATCCAGCTTTCTGACGTGAGAAATTGGCTTAGAGGTCTGGACTGCTACAAGTAGGGGGTAGAAACGTCTTGCTTCTTTATTCGACCTGTGTTGTACAACAAGGGAACCTGCAAAACAAGGACGTATAACGAGGAATCGTAGATTTATGAACCTCAAAAAGACTAGATGGACGTCCAAAATAGTTATATAGAAAGGTTCCACGACTTTGATACACAACCGCACACTGTCGACGGTTCTTTCTTCAAAAAAAACATCTGAAGCCAACGGGCTGCAACAGTTCCTTCTTCAATCGTGTGTGGGTTGGACTTTTGGGTCCAAACCCGTTCGACCCCTGAAACAGCGGATTGGTCGACATCCGGCTCCATGGTGGAGACTGTGCACCTGATTTGAGGGTTTGGTGACTCATGACGGATTTGATGGTGCCATGACCGGGAGTCCTGGTCCGGGTGAAGACTGTGATCGGGCGCACATCACGAGGAATGCATCACACGCCAGTTTTTCCATGATAAACAAAACCATCATGGCTTCAATCTCCACAACTTCCCTGAGATCAAGGGCTCCGACCTGAACCTTCTGGGTGTGTCCGCCCTGTCTCCCTGAATTCAACCCCATCTCCGGCCTGTCTGGGTGTGCTGGGAGGTCGCATGTAGCGCACTGGAGCCACGGTAGCCACCGCGACCTGACAAGGCCATCCCTCCCTACCACTAGGCGGGCTACCACTAGGTGCAGCTGGCTTGGTGTTTCTCAAGGTACCGGCCGCACATTTTGGCCAAGTGTAGTGCATCCCTTCCGCCGCCCGTTTTTTCCCGCCTGCGCCCGGCGGGGAGTCCAAAGCGTGGAGCTGGTCGCACCTGGCGACGTTGGAGATGGTTCCCTCGGCATATTTCCAGGTGCACGCCGGTGGGATGTGAAGCTTCGCTGTTCGTCCAGAACAATGTGGCGTCCCTGCCGTGGATGCTGTCCTGGCCATCCCGGCGGAGGAAGGGTTTTTTAGGCCAAAACATGTCAACATGATTCAACATGTCACTTTGGAAAGGACCAGGCACCACAAAACGGAAGAGCTTGGTACTCTGGGACGACCCGTTTGCCAACACGAAAAACACAGATGGACTACCAGGGATGTCACCAACAGCCCAGTGTCCACATGCCCAAGCCTGGATATCAACACTGGAAACACCTCACCGACCTAGTCTGAGGCTTCTGGAGGTGAAACTGCCTCACGGAGACTCAAAGTTGCTTGCTACACGAGTCCTAGTCCCACAACAAAAGAAAGCCGGGGCCCAAACAAGAGCAATTTTTGAGATCCAACCCAGACCATCCATGGGACAGGAATATTTGCATACATTGACCCCTGATGGCTCAGCCCATCGTGGATTGCTTGGATTGTTGCAATGGTACCATACCGCGGCCGAAGAACATCACTGTTCCGTTCGCCGTAACGCCGTCACGCCGCGGCCGAACCAGTGATGTCCGTAACAGGAATAGAGGGGAGACTTTGGTACCAATATTACCCCGTGTTAATCAACCAACCCAAAGTCAAAGGCCATCTATGACTAGAACAAACTCACCCAGCTTACGCTACTCCAACGGTCTTTTCTGCGAAGACGTGGACATTTCTCTTGTCACCGGCAGCCTTTGTGTGCTGAGTTTCGGTAAAAAAGAACTGTCTCCGGAATCTCAAGGCTGGAGATGCAATGTACCCAATGCGGCATCCTACTCTCTTGGTTAATTAATTCACACTAGCATTATATAACCAGCGCCTCAAAAAACCAAGCGACGCCATCCATATCACACAGCACACTCCTCCTACCTGCCCTAGACGCAATGATGGGATAAAAAACTGCGTGCTGGTGCCGCAATCGCGCATGATCAGCAGCGAACACAGGATCAACTGCGTCTTGTAGCAGGACTCAGCATGTATGTGGCTGACCATTCAAGTGTGCATACTTCGTTACAGCATGTAAACATATCATAGTTAATTACTGTATAAACATCTCGTCAACGGTTCCCTTGTTGATCCACTAAGCAAGGATATATACTGAGTGCTATGATGGGGGTTGAAAGTTGATGTGAGGTTCTGCATGCTGGATAATGGTGAGAGAATCATGTAATCAAAACAGTCGCCAAACAATGCTCGTAACACTCCAAACTCAATATCACCCATATCATGTTGTGCCAGGGTACCTGGACTTTGCATGACTTTGCGCCATGGGTGCCCTGAGTGTACCTGTTTGTACAGGGTCATGATGTCCCCTTCTATGAGAGGCCAGGTCCGGCCAGGTCTTTCCAGCTTCCTGCAGCCTATCAGAAATGGCTCGCTAGAGGGGTGCATTTTCTATTGCCCCCTGCTATGGAGGGCCCATGTTAGTGATGCCGTTCCGATTCAGTCGGAGAGATGCCGTGGTCATCGCCAACGATCCCCGTGATCTTCGCCAAGACATCTTGCGAAACGTCGTGGTGACTTGTGAAACCTCGATCTACTTCCACCAGTGTCACGCGACGCGTCAAGAATCAATGTCGATCAAACTCATGGAAGCCTGCTACTGCCCGTCCCTGACACAGGGACTTGGGAGCGCAGCGTATGGGGTCCTGACAATCTGAGCATCCCATGATTTGGGGGTGTTTGGAGCATCATTGGTATATGTATTAAAGTAGGGAGGCCTCACAGGAGCTGATGATGTCACTGGACTAGTCCTCGCGTGACATGGGCGGATTAAAACACTGCGAAGGTTCGCATCCAGCCGATAGGTACGACTACTCGAGCATCTTAGTATGCTCGAAGGACAGCGCTCATTCAGCAAATCGACCAAGAACGCTCTCCACTTTTCTGGGAGGTGCGTCTTCGACATCTTTTGCCGTAGTGCTTGGGCCCCGCATTGCTGGGGAACATTCAAGAAGCGTGAGAAGTGAGGCGTGTGGACATCCAATCCCGGGTCTCTGCTTTAAGAAATTATAAGCTGAGCGAGATTTAGGACCTTGGTCTTGCCTACTCCAAAACTAATATCTGGTGGTCCAACCTTATTATATCTTAAGATTTCTTAAGACAGCATCTTTAGTTTGCTATAGTTTCCTCACCTGCCATCTACTTAGCTGTGGATCAATCACAATCCATCTCTGTGAATATAATTAGATATACTAATATACAGATTTGACCATTTGATCTTGATTCCGAGGAAGTTTGGCCAAACAGGTGAAGTTGCACCCCTACAAATCTCCCCTCTAGGCTTAGCGGATGCGCAGTTCCATAGTTCAGTACCAGTTGTCTCCATGAAAGTGTCGACTGGCACTTCATCCAAAAAGGTCCTTTCATAAAAAGAGTATATTCGGTTCCTGTTTGGGACGTCCGATATTGGCATGACGCATGACGCCTCGACCTCGCCCGGACGCTGCAGAACAGGCTCATTGCGACATTCGGGACGTTCTCTTCATCTTGGACACCGGAACTCCGGACCTGGCAGGATGAGACGACTTCTCCGCCAACGCTGAAGCGGATCGAAGTCGTCTTCGTCTGGAAAGGGAAGAAACCGGTAGAAGGTGAACGTCCAGGTATGACCCCCCCTACTTCATCCGACTTCTTTGGCCTTTGGGCTCTGTGAAACATGAATTTCATTACATAACGGCAACAAAAACATGTTGGCCGCAGGCATTGAATTCAATATAATAACGGCCAAAGAAATGTTGGCTGGAGGCGTTGTTCTAAAAAAAAAAAAGAACACCAACATTCCAAGCAAATGCCACTTCAATTGCAAACATGTGCTCAAAAATGCATGGACGGGGAAAGATGCATGTTTGGAGGTCAAAAAACGCCGGTTCTTTTTGGATTTTCACCTCGCTAACAGCATGTTTTCTGAATAGTAGGCAATTATTTGTCCGTTTTATCCTGGTATATACAGAAACAGTAAACACATCCTTTTCTGAAACAGTTACGACAACAACGACAACAACTGCAACAGCAGCAGCACCGACACCATGCAAACATCCAGTAGTGGAGACCAAAACAACATCACTGTTCTTGCTTTTATATTACTTTATACTATACACAACTACTGCCGAACAAAAATGACGGCAGTACACACATACACACCAAAAAATAAACACATGAAGGAAATCGGTGAGGATGAGCAAACAAAAGAAGTACTTGGTTCCCTCTCAAGAGAACAAGAAATAGCTAGTTAGTGGATGACTGGAAGATCTCATATGTTTCTTCAGCGGGTCTGAGCCCACATCACCAACGAGACATCCTGAGGTGCAAAAAGAAACCATAATAACGACTCAACAAATCGCCAGAAAGCCAAGTGAAACAAAATGAAAAGTGTCACTGTGATCTATTGCGCGAGCATTCAACCAACCTGACCCGGCACAACTACAACATAAACTATAACATACTATAACGTAGCACTTGTTCCTAGTAGCTTCTTGTTACTACTAGTAAGGCACTTGTTACTACTAGCGTGGCACTTGTTCCTAGTAGCTATAGCATACTATATATATCCTAGGAACCAGGGAAATCCTCGCCACGCGCAGCTCTGCAGGAACCGACTCTCCTGCAGGAACCTCCTGCATTGTTCTCAATCGCTCGCTGAACCAGGGAACATGGTCTCTATCCGGTGCTCGGTCGGGTCAAAGTACTTGATCTCGCATTTGCCCTTCTCTTCCTGGCCGCTCGGTGAGGGGTATCGAAAGATGAGACAAGTGGAAGAAGACTCCCGAGAGGTCTCCCGAGACTGTCTGAGACGGGCGGAGAGAGAAGGAGACCCAGTTCAGGAGACCCAGAGCACGTTTTTTGCTTGATTTCTCCAGAGAAGTGATGTTGATCTGATGGCTGGACATCTATTGAATCTATTGCTCAGTCAGATGCCTTTCTTCCAGAAGAAGATCTCAGAATCAGGATGAATGTAGGTGGTGTCGGCTGGTGTCGGTCATGGTGACTCGAACCATCAGTATCAAGACCTCGACTCACGAACCATCATGAACCACGTTCCTTGGTCCCTCAATTCTCAGAGGACAACCCGAAAGATCCGAAAGGGCATGCCAGAGTGATTATGGAATTGCCTGATCCAGCCGACTTGGCGGCAGACAAGCTCTTACCACAACAAGCTACTGACGCCACGAATATCGCCTCGCGACAGTTCGCCGATCATCTGAGTCGATCGGAATCAAGGGCCGGAAAGCGATGAGCTGTTCACAGGAGACGCAGGAGATGTCACACATGAATCTGGGAGTTTTGGGCAAAAAACATGCTTTACGATGCCAAAAACGCCCACCACGTCAAGGGATGATGGTTAGGTTGCAAACCTAAGTGACAATCTTTTACCCATTACTGGTTTACTGGGACACGCGTTACAGTATCTGGGAGCATGTCATCAATGTTTCACCCTGCACTTCGGTCACGTCCCGTGTCGACGGACGTGCCCGCACAGCGCCTTGAGAATGGTGGCCAGCACAGCGCCGTGAATGCCATCCACGCCCTGTTCGCGCGGCTGGATCCAAACCGGGTTCATGGAGGAAGTAGACATCAGGTCACCCTCCTTTTGGTTTGAAGGAGCATGTATAAATTATAACATCACAAAAAGAACAAGACACGATACCTTGTAACAAACATGTAGAAGCTGATATGATCAAGGCCACCCTGATCCAATTGCTTGTCCTCAACAGAACGACATGACCGCTGTGGGATCCCCAACTCTTCTAAACCAACAATTCTAGTGCATCCCGGAGAGAATCCAATAGAAAAACCAACTGAATGAATCAATCCTGCAACCACTTGGTTTTGCCTGCTACGACTTAGCGCTGAAGGGTTGCACTTCCCAGCTTTTGTATGAACATCTGACATCAACATCCATGCCAGACTTCTCAAAAGAGGCAATACCTCATGGCCTAGAGTGGTTTCAGAGTGGTTAGTATGGAGCGATGTCTACACAACTACTAGTACGGGTTTGTGCCATCTACCCCGAAGTGACTGTACCTTTCAACTTGTGACAAGCTCTTCAAATGTCAGGCCTCCAAGAAGTTCCTGAAAGAATGACTCAAAGTTCAGAATGGTTTCCATGTGCTGAGTAGTTTGTCTTCCCGTTTGAAGAATCCTGTTGCTTCGTAAGTTCTGTTCTGCCTCTCGAAAGCGCGTTCTTTGGTTGCCAAAGGCAGCGCCGAGGCGGCTTGGGGGTAACCCTGCGACTCCGGTACGACCCAGACCTCCTTTGCGTTCTAAACGACTTGGGGCAAAACGACACCACACACATATCCTGAAGACATGAACACCAGGGCAACAAATCCGAAACCTATTTTCCGGAATGGACGGTCCACCCCCCCCTGGGCCTTTCGACCGGCGCCGTCCCCCCAAGTCCGGCGCAGCCAGCCGTGCCGGACGCTCATTCGAACATATTCATTGAGATCCCATTCCCTGTAACAGTGGATGATGATGGTCGGTAGTACAGGAATTTCTATACATATAGTGAACATCGTTTTACCGACTGTTACAGGTCTACTACTAGGTTTACACCCCAATACACCCCACATCCAACGCGTGCGTAGTTGAACACATGACAAAAAAAATGGAAAACACGGCCTCCACGAGGACCACATCGCCACTGCCCAGCATCTCTGCTTTCAAGTCTTCGGCGGTGGCACCACCCTCCACCTCTCCATCCTGCGGGGAGCCCCGGAGAACCCGGAGGTCACCAACGAACGTCGTGTTCCGACCGACTGTCTCTCATGTAAGCAGGCACAAAGAGTTCGTTGTGAGCAGAACAAAAATAAGAAATGACAAAAGTCATCCAGAAAAAGCCGATATGAGTCGAAGCAACATGAAGTCTGTGAAGACATTTGTTGTGAGTGGGCCTCCCCTGCAGGCTACCCGAGACACTCTGCTCAGTTGAGACCGAAAGGCCCCAAAGAAACCAGTGAGCACAAGACACCCAGTGAGCACAAAATAGCCCATGGTCTCACTGCACCAAGTGGGTTGGCCTCAAACTCCTAAAGTAGAGCAGAGATCCGCACTATAGTATGCTATTGCAAAATGCCAACTGGATCCTCAGGTAGCACCTACACCCGGCCAGCGGTGTGACAAGTGCTCGTGTTGGGACGATTTCCCAAGGTGCCAAAGCACTTGTTGGGTAGGGCGGAGAAGCAGCAAAGCAGGTGGACAGCAATGCAACAAAAACAGCACTATCAAACGAATGGCATCGCTTTCAGACCTCAAGGATGATGAGGTCTGTACTTGCTATATCTTGCAACGTAACTACCTGGCCCCTCCAAAGCACCCTAGCACATTAGGACATGACCCGAACAAAAAGAACACGTCCGACTGTACTTGGACCCAAGGCCTGCCTCCGAAAAACAGTAAAGAAAACACAAATCAACTGTGACCTGCTTGGTACCCACCACACGGGCATGGATGTCCGACCCTCCTTTGCCATGAAGTTCTCATCCTCGGGATGTGGGAAGAGGTGGGACGTGGTCCGCGGGAGAATCCAAACATAGCGACTTGGGGAAACGAACCGCTGAAGGACCTGGTGATGAAACGTTCGCCTTTGGCATGTCTTTAGCGACGCTCTACTTGCCAATATGTTCCAGCATTTAGACCTGTAGGTTCATCAAGGCTGCCAAGGCACTAATTCTTTCTGGTGATCAGCAAACCCGCCCAGGTAGCGGTTCAAAAAGGGTCCTGAGTGCCCGGTTCTGAGCATGCGAAGCAGGGCTGGGGAGATGCATCCGTTCAAGTCACGGTCTCAAATCATACCAAAGCCACGATCCCATTTAAAGATTGGTGGTTTTCAACTCACTTGAACAAACTTGGCCAGTGGGTCCAATCATTCCAGGCAAAGGTTGAAAATAACAATATCTGAAACGACCACCCAGTGCATGCTGGGAGCTAAGAGCGGTGGTTGTACAGCGAGACAAACTTGTATATAGCACTACAGTATACGAGGTGTTTGTGCTCCAGAACTGGCGGTTGGCAGCAGAAAGAAACACATGGATCAGGACATCTCAGCTGTGAGTCATTCATGTTCCAAACATCAGTACATTCTGCTCCACAAAGGGCCGTGATCGACCACAGACTCATGGTCTTGCACTTCTCACAGTCCGAAAGCGATTGTGTCTGCTGTTTTCTTTGTCCGCTTCCTCCCACTTAGCATTTCATGCGCAACACTATGTATGAATCACGCTGTGACCCTTACAAAGCAGTCTTGTACCATTCCAGGGTGGGTCCAGCAAGTCTCAAAAGGACACTACTACTACTACTACTACTACTACTACTACTACTACTACTACTACTACTACTACGACTACGACTACGACTACTACTACTACTACTACTACTACTACTACTACTACTACTACTACTACTACTACCCCGTGAAACAGAACTACCTACCTGGAGGGCCACGGGATGCCACAGGGCCTGCTGAAGGCCAAGCACTCCGTGATGTAATACGCGTAATAGATTGTAAGAATTACTGATTGAATTGTAATATATATATATTATATATATAGTACGTACAAGAACGATTACAATACATTTGAGAGGTTTCACTGGCTTCACTCTTTGGACTCGATTCGGCTGCCAACTGCTGCAAACAGGGCCAAGGGACGCAGCGCGACGATGGGACCCGAGAGGAAGGTCTTCCTGGGAGCATCTCGTCAGGTTGGTACGGTGGCTGCACACATGGCTGCGCATATACCTCCTACTGTTCAAGGAAAAGAGATCTTTCACCAAAACCACCAGCCCCCGCGGCCCTGCTTCCCGAAACACCACGAGGTCTCCAAAGCAGAAAGGGTGATGCTTCGCAAGGCTGGCGAACGCTTGAGATTCTCTACTCACTGGCGCCAACAAGGAATCCCTCAACGCAAAGTGACAAGGATTGCCCCGACTGCAAGGATGATCAAGTTCGGTTTGGTGACTGTTCGGTGTGAGTTCTTCCGGACGTTCTTCCAAAAGCATCGGTCGACGAGTTCCTTCGGGACGAGACTCTGAAGTTCGAAGATCTTCTCAGGGATCCCCTGGCCCAGCAGGAAAGTACATACCTGCTTCAAACACACGGAGCCGAGCACTTTGGGCTTAAACAACTGAGGGAGCCAATCACCTTGTTGAAACCGGTCAAAACAATGACTGGAAGGTAAGAAGCCACTATTTCTACTGCAGATATACTGTAATACTGTTTAATGGGGTTATGCTCATTCATGCTCTACATGTTATGGGTCTCAGCTGGGAGATGATGATAATCCTGGTCTCCAGCCAAACTTTTGGGCCAAAAAAGGACACCTGCGCATGCTGATCCAGGCTGAACATGAAGTACTGGGAACAACACTGGGTCTGAAGCAACTTGAAAGTGGGGCCTGCAAAAATTGAAAGGACTTAGATTTTCAAGAGAGACGGACCACAGGTTCCCCATGGTTTCCCTGAGAGCTCTGCGGAAAAGAGGGCCTCATTGCTGAAGTGGTTGCAGCTATGCGTGAGAAGGTCATAGGTGTGAAGGCCAGTGTATCTCTCCTCTGCGGAGGACGGACTTCGCCAGCGCTAGAGAAGGATGCGACGGTTCCGTCCCGACGTGGGGAGATGCACAGAGTCCTATATAGATCCGATCCCGGTTTGTGTTTTTGTTGATCCTTTCTTCATCAAGAAGGCGCCGAAGGCGCTTGTCAAGCTTGCAGTCAGACTCAAATCTGACTCAGACTTCCCCTGCTTTGGATCGAATGACGCCAGTGTCATCCACTGAGGTCATGTCTCCACATGTGGGGACACTTTTCTGCTCTACTTTCCTACCTTGCGGTGTTTGATAGTTTCTTTGGCCATTCTTCTCTCTGTTTCTGATGCTTGCCACCCGTCCTTAACCTCCGCCTGGAGCCATCCCACGAATTCCTGGCGCGTCCCAGTGCACGGCCCAAACTGAAAGTCTCAAACGATTCGGGTCAAGGAACCTACAGAAGTAGGCTTCAAATGGCTTCATGTGGGTCAAGGGTTCCGAAAAAGACAAGACCCCAGCTGTTCTGGGTTCCCGATGTTGATGTGTCTTTTTGGCTGGATGGACATGGCCAGGGAATGATTTACAGTGTGTTCCAGGTCGTGCAGGGTGTTCTCCTTCAACTGTCCAGCTAATTACGGGTGAGTTTCCAACAATATTGGATTTATTGGATGTTCATTCAAGTGACATGCTAACAACACACACAGAGTCCATGAAGCTTAACTAGGAGCCTCCACTTGAATATCATATTATGCTTGGACTCTTGCTGGCTGGGGAAGACCAAAACACCATATAAAAAATGAGAAAACCAATATTAATATATCCTCTATCTGTTTGAGAATCCAAAAGGACACATTGAAATGGCCCTTGAAACCCTATCTCCCTGCCCAAGCCATCCATGGGACTGGAAAAACTATTGGGCTACAGTATATGCAACTCTTCCAGTCCCATGGATGTTCTGGCTTGGGAAGTCTTCCGATTTCAACGCCTCGTGGGTGACGAAGGTGTAGCCCAGGCGGACCACGGGGAGGTCCGGCCTTTGCTCCGACCTGCAGGAAATCGGTCCGCTGAAATGGAACCGATGGGCCATGGGGATTTTTGGATGTTTCCAGATCTTTCCATGGCCATAGCGCTTTCCTCCTACAAACCCCGCGAGGTCTGGCAAACATGAAATCAGCATGTCATGAATTTCGTCGATTCTTCCCAAACAAACAATGAACCTCTCCAACTGGATGCCCCAGGGGTTCGTCAGCGGCTCGCCAAACTGCTTGCGGCAGGGAGGGTCGCTCCGGAAGAGCTTTCCACCTCGAGCGTCGAGGGCGAAGAGGTCTGAAGGGCTGCCGAAGGTCTGGGGTTCATGGAGGAAACCATGCGACACGTGTCTGCAGGATGTTCATGGATTGCGACTCCAAGCGACGAAAATGTCTTGAAATGGAAGAGGCTGGTAGATCAAGCCATGCCAAGTGTCTTCAGCACTGTTGGGATCCACACTGATAGCTATAGGACCATGTTTTATACGAGTAGCTAGGACAACCAACCCTGAGCAAAGGCATGTTGCTGTCTGGGGTGCTGGCGGTTCGCGTCTCCGGAACTCTTTAAATGAAGCCATCACTGAAAGGAGGTCAAAGCCACAATTACTGACAGGGGTCAGTCAGACTCTGCAGCATGCCTTGTGTCCCTCAAATTGCAATTATAAACAAAACACACCTGTGACTACACCTGTGCGCATATATATAATATAATATATATATATATATCGGCATTGACATCAACCTTAGATGTCGAATCTTCCCTGTCATTGAGGCCGATGCCATACCAATACTCGCTGCCATAGACCAACACGCCGGTGTGGACCGCCTGGCGTCGGCTGACGGTGGCGGGTCCTTTGATGCGGCCCGCGGCCGGCCTGCACCGCTCGGAGAGGGGCAGGGAAATACCAAACCCTAGGGCTCCAAGTACCAGCACCCACCCCAAACACCTTTGAAACGAAGGTACTTGACCCTACCTTTATGGAAAAAATGACATCGTTTCAATGTCATGGACGTTGACGTTGGAACATCAGCTGGCTACCTGAATATATAACTGATCAGTTCATGATTCTTTGATGAATTCTACAAGCTATTGATTCTACAACTCTTGGCCCAAGAGCTTCAGTGTGACAACACCACGACGCCAGGCCTCCCCAGTCGCGTCCTACCCCCGTGAAACCCCCGTGGTCCCAACCTCGGCGCTCTTCCCCAAGAGCAGCGGACCGAGCTTCGCGGCCATACCCTTGGAGATGTCGTAGAGCAAGATCTCGACCTCGGGAGAGAGCGCTTGAGGCGCGACGCGAGCGGACGCGAGCGAGCGAAGCTGGCGAGCAGCGTTCGAACGCAGGTGTGGAGCGCGAGCGGAAGCGGGGCGGGTCGAGGAAGGCGGTGAGCCCTTGCAGGTTCTGCCGGCTTATTTGGCGTGGAGGGCTAGTATCATCAGCCCGTTGTGTGTTGTGATCAAAGAGTCATACCCGTGTGTACTCCAGGGGGACCTGGACTCCTAGAAAAAATAGAAAATTCATAGGAAAAATCCATTTTCGGGATATATGAAGTCCTGTTGGCCAGGTCCATGCTTCAAAATTTAGGTTCTATAAAATCCTATCACTGGGACTTTAAACTCCCTGGGGAAACACCGGTAGATCTTGGCGGATTCCTGGTAACGTCCTCCCCGGGGATTGGGGCACCAGAGATTTATGAATTCCTTACGCCCACCAAAACCCGAAAAATTCCACACAGAAAAATATAATAAAAGCTGTCTTGTCCATCCATGGAAATCCATCGCAGAGCATGCAGAGCTGACTTTTTTCCGGCATGCTCATGCATTGTCGTTCATCATCCGAGATCCTTTGGGGATCTCGGACAGCAGCTTGAAGAAACCATGCTTTCTTGCAGGCTTCTCCATCAAAGCACGCTTGATGTCCTCCAGGTGCTTGAAGATCAGCGCTGACCTGTCGCCCTTCTTCGCATGACCAAAGTAGCTCGAGAAGAACTCTGGTGATCTCTTCACCGTGTCCTCCCAAGCCACTCCTGTGCTTTTCACATTGCCATGCTCGTCGAAGATGTTCTGCAGGGGGAAGCTTAACCTGTACAGATTCAGCAAATCCTCCATGCAACGCTGAATGTTGCGAGCTCCAGCTTTGCTTGCACCAAACGACGAAGGCATGAACTGGAAAGCCTTGCTTGGTGCAGCGCCCTCATCGGCATCGGTGTTCTGCTGCATTTTCTTTCTGCCTGGTTTCTTCTCGCCGCTGAGGATCATGTCCATTAATTCTGAGCTGCCCTGAGCTTCCTGCATGGCGATCTTGTCATCCTCACTCAACGCCACACGCATTCCATCCAAGCCAGCCAAACATTCCTTGACCGTGAGCTTTGCGATGAACCTGCTTTGGTTGACGAGCATGCACCCAGAAAAGGAATTGCACCCGTACCACTCCTCCTCCCCCTCGCCGTCTGCAATGCGCCGGAGCGGCACCATGCGGATTTTGGCCACTGCTTCAAAGGGAACAGGAAAGCTGGTGGGAAAAGAAATTATAAAAACAGTCAATCATGTCAATCTAGAGATGCTAGAGTGCAATGTCTGTCTGCTGGATCTGTCAGAAAATCGGAGTGCAGGAAAATATACATAATTATCATAATTTACCACATCACTATGCTAATGTGACAGGAACATATAAAATATATGAACTTCCACTGACATTCTCCTTGGCCGTCGTCTGCGTGTTCACAACACTGTAGGCTCCCCAGCAAAATGCGAGCAACAGCCAAACGAGAAGCATGGCAATGCGGATGGTCAGCAAACCCAACCAGGTGTGGTATGTTCACACAAAGTGCACAGGACTATATAACAAATCGTTGCTTGTTAGCTCATACCAATCCCAACATCTTACAGATCTTACAGGTTTTCTTCCAGGTTCATGCCCATCCCAACATCTTACAGATCTAACAGTGATTTTCATGACTGTACAGGACAACATAGCATGGCCCAATGCCTGATGATTCAGCACGATCTTTCTGGCTGCAGGTCTGACACAGAGAGTTTGCTAGTGGAGGCCTTCGCTCTTAGGTTGGAGGCCAGTCCTCTTCACCGTCCGAAAAAACGAATATCAGCACGGCCCTGCCCCCCCCCCAACTTTAGCCGTCTGGTTTTCCAGTATAAATTTATAAAATCCTTTGACAAGGTATTGTTTCAGAAATCTGCAATGGACTCATCACTAGGACTTTATAAAAAAAATCATGCTTTTATAAAATCCTGTTTGATTAAATCATGTTAGAATATGAAACAGTTATGAAGTCCTGCTTGCCAGGTCCATGTGCCATGGTAGAGGGACCTATTGTTTTTATATATAGTGGTTGCCCAGGTCCAGGAAAAAATAGTTGGATTCCAGACGGGTATAAGAGTCTTAGTGGGACCGGTAGTTTGCTGATTAGGCTAGCTTTTGGGGACTGTATAAGAACAAAAGCTGAGGCATGTTGGTTTTGACATGTCTTGGCCTTGTGAGAACCCCTTGTTTTGGAGACAGTAGCAGTCATTAGCATCTTGGGTGTTGTGGCTGTCAAAAGTTCCTTCATCCTCTGAGACCAACACAGTACGCAACAGTTCAACAACTGCCACACACTAAGACCATGGCCGGCTGCTTCCTTAGCCGTTGGACGGGCTGTCTGACATGCACAAACATGATGTGGCTTCAGAAAACGCACAGTTACCTAAATCACTGAACATTCTGAATTACAGCATATTACAGCAATGTCTTAACATGTCTTGACTATTTCGTCAAAGAAACCACGTCTGTAGTGAACAATAACTCGTCTCGTAGGAGCCCTTTGCCCTTTCCATTGTGTGCGGCTGTTCCTTGGATGGATTCCTATGAATCCAATGTTGTCCCACTCTGCATACCAACCACTGAGTTCCCACCCCAAAACTCCGAGTCCAGTCCAGGCGACCACCTCGACGTGCGACGTGACGCATCTGCGGTTTAGGCTCTTTCTGCCCAAAATGTAGGCCATGACCTCCCAAAGGTCGACCTTTCCGTCCATATCCACCTCACGAAGTAAAGACATATCGTGCTTTGGTGTTTCAGTTCTTTCAGTGAAGTTGAAGAAAGAAATTATAGAACAAACACATGAAAACAACATGTGCACAAAAAGTGGCAGGTTGACATGTCTGATGGCAGCAGTCCACAGTTTGAGATACTTTAACGATCTTCATATATTTAATGTCTGCATTCAAACGTCATTTTCGATCGCAACTGGGTGGTCCTCTCATCGGGGCTGCTGAGTCAGTCGCAGCAGCAGCAGCAGCAGCAGCAGCAGCACCACCTTCAGCAGCAGCAGCAGCAGGCGGCCAAAGTCTACAAGGCATGGCCCGAAGCGACCCCTAAGCATGCTTCTAGAAAACAAGAAGAACTACAGTACGCCTCTCAGCAATCTAACAGATCCAACAGCAGCATCAGCAGCAGCAGCAATCCACACTATGGGGGTTTCGTGTATAGTGTATACATTGGTGTCTTGAAGCAGGTGTCCGGAAACAAAATGTCAAACTACGCAACAAAGAGGACCTCTGACGGATACCTTCGCTTCAATGCTCTTTCATGGGGTAACGTTGGGTCAAGTGAGGGATGACACCTGCATCATCTGATCTCAAGTCAAGAAGTCAGGAAGTCATGTACTGTTCACAACAGGATCTCCCATGTGTCCCGCTAGAGTAGGAGGGCTATAGTGTGAAAGATCAAGCTTTAACCTCATCCCAATACAAGATTGCTGAAGCAAAGAAGAACTCAGCTAGCGCCTTCGCTTTCGTGACTTGGCTTGCTTGTGATTTCTGATGTGAATGCATTTGTTTGGACCGTGACCATCTTGATGCAGGACACATGCCCATGGCAAAGCCACCAAGAAGGAGGATTGATCAAATGATTAATCTGATAAACAAACACTGGACTTGTTATTGTACGACAATATGCAATGTTGTATTTAGTGTCCTTCTGCAATCTGCACAATGATGTCAAAGTCATACCATATCATTCTCAAGTAACTTAGTGGATGTGCATCGTAGCACAGCCCTCCGGCTGGGCAGCGCTGCATCTGCATTCGAGAACATCTCATTGATCATCTTTTGCACCTGGGAGCGATCGGACGCTACGAACGGGGCTCCTGGCATCGCTACGAACGGAGCGATCGGACGCTACTGTGGGGGTCCCATCTCTTCGATCAGTCCTTAGACATGCTGCGAATAAGCGGTCTTCATCCTGCGAATAGGTGGTGCAGGATGTCTTCCTTCAACACAAATCCACACAACCGAAGGCTTCCACCCTTGCACTTCCGTATAAAGACTGGGCTGGAAGAATGGTATGGATTTCTTGAGGAGTAGTGAGTAGTAGTGTGAGTAGTGTCCTCTTGCTTGCTATGCCTCATCCATCTGTTTCTTCTCATCTTTGCTGATCGTTCCATCCTCCATCGCAAGCTTTCGAAGCCTCAACAGCTCAAGTTCAACCGGATATACAACAACCATGGGGCGAAAGCTGACGAACTCAATTCAACGGCTATTGTTGGCATGCATGGATTCTCCAGTGACAACGACATGGATTCTCCAGTGATGTACGAGACTCGACTCAAACAAAGAATCAACAAGAAAGGTTTCTGTGATAAATTGCAAGCTCAACACAGCAACTCAATAGCATTCAATGAATATCACTGGAGCAAGACCTGCACATGGCCAAGTGATAATATTGATAATCCTACAGTCAACACTACACCTCCAACACCTGCTCTTGGAGAAGGTGGTTGGGGTAGGCTGGGGCCAACTACCTTCTGAGGATGTTGGAGCCCCAGGGCAAACTCGTGTGGATCCGCTTTTTGGTTGATCCTGCTGCATGATGAGTGCTGATCCTGCAGCCACATTCGTGAAGACCGGACAAAAGGCAATGTTCAAATATGCTTCTCAAAGGTTCCTGTCTCAGCAAAAATAAACCAAACATAACCAAACGTTTGAGCGTGGGAGGTCTGGAAAATCTTGTCCTTGTGAGAACAACTCTCTAACTAAAATAAGTTGCCAATCATAATGCTCTATTTGGAAACAACACAACAGGAACAATGACATGTACTGCGTAAAGGCCCAAAGCAAAGAATATGTAACTTCTCAGATCTTTATCCAAATTTGTGTCATTTGTGCCATCTCAGATGCAAGTCCAAGTGCAAGTCCAAGACCAGGAGGGTGTCAAACAGTTTATGTTAATTATGCATCGCTTTTTACAAAAAATGAAGGGTCCTCCGAGTCTTCCCAAACCAAGAGGGGTCACGCCATCTTGGTTCACCAAGGTCCTTCTACTAGTGGCGTTTGGGGAGTTCTCTCTTCTCTTTCTCAGCGGTCCGTTCGACCGACTGCTGCCGAGCAGCTCTTTCAAGTGCTCCTGTGCGGCGAGTACCAAATGAGAACTGCCTCATGGGAACTATCAACTATCTTGGAGAAGGATGACCCAAAGTGATAAATCAAATAGCTTTATTGACCCGTTTTGATCGAGTTCAACCAAACATGGGTTCCATCAGTAACTATTCACCTTCCTGTCTCAACTTCAAGACTGGTGATTGTGTCTGGAGGGGTTTCTACCTCTTCACATCCAGTGAAGGTCCACCCAAAACACCTCCCCAAGCCACCGGCCTCAAGCTCCTCACGGCTCACATAGCCATCACCGTTCTTGTCCTGGTCGGCACGGGCCGTTCCGATCCTGGCCGATCCTGACCGATCGGGCTGTTCCTGACCGGTCGGGGGCGTTCCGGTACGGGAGGCTTTGAGCTTCGGGCACCGTGAGGTAGTTGGATCTCTTTTGGGTGAGAAGGGGTTGAAGCTGACATCAGTAGGAAACGGTGGAAACGTACCAAACAAGTTAATTAACATGGGTGTTCGACGTCATATATGCACCTCACTTGTTCACCGCACACGTCACGAAAGGTTCGGCGTCATATATGCAACATGGCCAATTGAAAGTCTTAAACATTGCCATCATCCCAGTTCTGGGCCTTTCTTTCTCCCAACCAGTGTAATATACACCAAAATAGTTCAAACAATGCATACAAAATATATCAAGACTCTTATCAACGGCTCTTGACTGTGGAGTCAATCCAAAGACTCATCCATCCCCAAGCCGATCGATCCATCCACATCTTCTTGCGATGAATCCTCCACTGCTCCACCCGGATCGTCAAATCAGGCTCCCCGGCCCACTCTTTGAAGGACGAGATCAGCCTGTCTTTGAGATTTGTTCACCCAACACGTGCATTGTGCATCTACTTTATACAATGAATTTGCCTTGGCGAAAGGACACAAGCTGAAAGCCAAAAGTCTTCCAAGGTTCAAGGGACTGTTACTTGGATTAATTTCCATGTTGATAATTGGTACAGCTCGAGGGAATTGACCTCAAGACCATGCGTTTCTCGAAAAGGCCCGAGAGTCAAGCTGCTCGGTGTCCGAAAATTGTGAAAGGGTGTGAACCACATTCCCACCACATATCAAACACTTTCAGGAAAATACAGACAATTTCCAAGTCTAGCTTTGTTCACGGATTCTCTGAGATGTCCAAGTCTAGCTTTGTTCTGAGGCTTCGGCTTCTGCAGTTGCTTGGGATCGTCCTTCATCTTGGTGTTGAGATGTTTGCGCAACCTCACCAACAAAACTCCTATATGTGTTTTTTTGTTTTTTTTTTAAATGTTTAAAGTATACACCATGCATGCCACTTGTTTTCATTTGTTTCATTGTTCCGATTGCCAAACAAATCGGCAAAGCTAGAAAACACAGAAAAGGACAAAAGAGCAGCGTGGATTTGGCGTGGCATTTACCCTATTCCTTCAGACAATGAAAGCATGTGCAATATTTTCTGTATGGTAGCCATCGCGAAGCCCGTGCAGCACCAAAAAGAATCAACAAGGACAAGTTCTGGGCAGGTGCAGGTGCCTCTGACAAGCAAGCACCGTATCGAATCACTACTTAAGCACATAATGGCAGCAATCCCGTGTTCAATCTATGGAGCAACCTCATTTTTGACGTCACCAGGGGATGAGCAACGTCGAGAGTCGAAACAAAGTACATCCCAGTACTACTCCAGCACAATTGGGGCTTCATCCGCCACCAGGTCGCTGTCTCATATGACCGACATCTTCGTTCCCACCAAGCATGCCGGCCACGAACTCCTCCTTGGTCGGTAGATCGGTGAGGCGGGTTGGGTTCGAGGAGCATTTAACAGGCATATGGAAACCACATGGAAAAACTGGTGCCACATCACCCAGAAAGAATTTCAGTCCTATGACCCTATGAGGGTTCAGCTGCGTTTCATAAACTCACAGCCTTTTATAACTATGGCAGAACGGTTAAGGCACCGCAGCCGACCAGGTTCCATTGGGGGGCATTACAAACATAGAATGACACAAACAATATTATACATATATTCATATACAGCATATATATATATATAGGGTTGACACATCGAACCATTTCGATAACTTACAGGCCTTACAGGGTTCCCATCCAAGAACCTTAACATGGAACGCCTTCAGTTCAGGCCATGTTCCTCCTAGAACAGTGTAGGTGTCAACAGTGTGTTTTGATGAATCCCCAGTCCACTTTCGCTGAAGAGATCATCCACCTAGGACCTATAAGGATCAACTTACCATCATTCACTTCGATACTATTGGAAGAGATCATCCTCCAGATTCCGCTCACAAACATCCAAGACTCGTAGGTGACCTTTCCGGACTTGTCCGTGTCCATGATCTGAAAATACTCCTCAAAGCAGGCACCACATGGCACGGGGGCATCACGACCAAATGCAGCTTTTGGGGTTCATCATCGGGTTCATCTGCTGTCAGCTTTGCTGTTCCCCGAGACTGTGACACATCGGTCTCATAAGTTAAAAAAGAAAACAAAGCAAACTCGTTGTGTATCTTACTAATTGCAAGGAAACAAATCAATCATGATCATTCTGTTGCTGCCGATGATGCTGGTGGTGGTGGCGGTGGTGATGATGAGACCATCAGTCAGTGTCCCAATCAACCCTAGTCATCCAACGTCTGTTAATAGGCATCTGAGAGACTCAACGCAGCGGCCAAGAACTCTCTCCTGAGTACTTTGCTCGATGAAGGCAGCTTCCTCCGGCGAGACTTTGCCTGCAAAGGATCGCACTTTGCCAGCGGCAAACTACTATATTTATACTACTTTATACATGGCTGGTGAAGAATTAGGACGACAAAGTAAGGGTTGTGAGTCTACTAAACAAAGCTGACTCTTTCAAAGAGCTCTCCAAACAAGGTTTTCCAATAGAGCTCCAAAGAAATACCCGTCTGAATAAGCAAGGAAGGTTATATAGGAAAGGGCACATCCCTGCCAACTGGTGCCCTTAGTGAACAACAGTATAGGCAGTATAGGAAACAGCCTTCGCCTCCGCCCATCGACAGGTCAGGCCGGTCAAGCCAGCCACTTCAATGCGCTTGCCGTGGGAGTTTAAGGATACACAGACTGCTAGGGACAACCTCCGATGCCGGAATGATCTTTGGCAAGTGATTGAAGAAACATGGAAAGCGGATGAAAGCAGCGCATTATCATTAATGACTTATCATTGCAATGGCCTACATTGGGTCGGCCATCAGGAGTGAATGTAGGACTGGACTCAAGTGCGGATTGGATCAGTAGCTCAAAAGCTGAACCCTGAGGGCCCTGGCCACTATAGATGGATGCTCGCGGGCGATCCGGCAAACACAATTCCTTTGCTGTCGGTGTATTGTCGAAAGCCTCGGTGCTTTCTAAACCACTAAACCCCAAGCCGGAAGACGCTTGGTCGCTCTGCGGAGACTTCTGTCTGGTCCTTTCACGGAGACCCACATCCCCTCAATCCCCCCAACCCGCTGTGGCCTACTTTCACTTCAGCTGCCTGCAGCACGGATGGAGCAGGAAGGTGAAGTGTCTGATCAGAAGTTGTTGCCAACCAGGAGCTGTTTTCGCTTGAAAAACAACTTGCGTCTGACATGCTACAAGCATCCTGTATGGTGACTATCAATATCTAGCATGACCTTCCTGGAGACAGCCCCCCATCACTCTGCTGCAAATAGTTTTCCTGGATACATAGATAAACTGCCAGTATGTGGCGCTCCAACATTGAATTGAAGCTCGGAAAGGCATATATATATATATGCGATATATATGTGGATTTGTTCTACCATGCTTGCAAGAAGACATCACTGCTTCTTTAGCGTCACAAGAAACATAACATCTGTCCAAACACCTTGGCGATGACCCCGGCAACACCCGAATCTGCAGATTGCTTATATCCAAATTTTGTTAAACAAAGAAAACCACATTCCACACTTCGGTTGTTGCTCAAAGCAACAGTTGTTGTTTCGTTGGATCCATTGGATTCAGCAAAAAGCCAAAGTCGATTCGAACTGCTGCTTCATGCTACGTAGTTAAAGCAAATGCTGTTTGCTTCACAATCTCCCAGCACTCTGGACTCTGAGTGTTTCAGTCAATGACCTTTCAATTCTTGCAAGGACTAGTATCATCCTATATACATGGTCGAGTGATCCGCCAAAATCCATCGCCTTGATCCAGATTTCCGCCAGCTCCTTCTGATCTAGGGCCTGATCATGGCCCGCATGCTTCTTGAACTGCTCCTGCAAGGGCGATTGTGAAAGGACTGACTGGAGTTGCTGCGAGTGAAGTGTCTTTTCCAAGGTGAGTTGAATACAGGACTTGCGATTTAAATCCACTGCTCCGGGTTGTTGACCGCTAGGTCAGGTCTGCCAATTTGATGGCGTAGTTGAAAAAGTTCTAAGAATGAGTACCCATTGGCTTAGACACAACCCTCCTATGTTGTCTGAGGCATCGTCTGCTTCGAGCAGGTCGGGTTTCCCCCCCCACAGACTTGCTGGTCAAGTCCCCAAACTTCTTCCACCTAATACTGTACGGCGCACCGACAAATACGGGACTGGAGCGTCTCCACATTCGAGTTCCCCCCGCGTCTAGGACGCGTCCTCCAAGTCGCACAACAAGGGTCTCAACTTTCGCTGGGTAGGCAGGGCAGCGAGCGAGGCCTCCACCTGCACATCTTTGTTCCTGAGCGTTTTCAAGCGCGTTCGGACGAGGGAGATGGTGTTTGACGTTTCTCTCATTTCTCGATTCTCGTATGTTTTTGGTTCTTTGGTTCTTTGGTTCTGTCCAACACCGAAGAAACGGTCGCGGGTCGGTGGAACATTGGGCCCCGATCGCGCGCGCTAAAAGGTCGGTTCAGGAAGAGTGCTTTCAGATTCATGGTCTGCCCAAAAGGTCCAATTCGCATGAGGGTTCCACATCACACCATGGTTGCAGGGGTCACTGAGGATATCTTCTTGAAACACTTGTAAAAGGAGTCTCTATAGCCCCTATAATGTTCACAGCGTGTTTGGTGTGGGACAAGAAGGACATCATGATATTCTCGGATCCTTTTGCTTTGTTTGGCTTGCAACGGTGGGCATTGGATTCCAGGCTTCTTGAGTCGTCAGGGATGTTGCTCACTTTCTGGTACACTGCACAAATCCTTTGGTGTGTGTGAGTCTCCTGGATTCCTGGTATGGGGTAAAGTTGTCTAACGAGTTCATCTCGACATCTGGCCAACATCTTGCCAAACCCAATGCCCCTTGAATGTACTGTAATTATCTGTAATTGTTGGACATCCATGCATTGCATAAACATCAAAACTACTTGTCCCCATTGGAACCCGCTGGGAATCTTCACAAGTTTTACGGATTGAATTTAAGTTACCCAACCAAATGGCTCTGGGTGAATTGATTCACGACTTTCAACCACCGAGGATTTGCGTAGGCCAGGCCGCGTAGGCCACGCCTCCTACAGGCCTGCCTCCGTCGTCTTACCCCATCTCGGGGAGTCACTCGACCAGCTTAAAACAACGGCCGACCGCAGCATCCGCATCACCAAGGGTCACACAGCAGCCCAGCAGCCCAGAGTTCCCCATCGGTCCCGAGCTCTCCCCGCCACAGCGTGACCCGAACTGTTGGTGTTGAAATGCCAAAGGCTGGAGCCGAAGCAGTTCAGCAGTTGAGCGAAACTCTTTATGCGAAGCAATTGAGCAGGGAGGATGTTTCGGGCCAAAAATTGGTATGCCCCCCCCTTTGGAAGCCGCTGTGCAAACGACCATCCGAGTGGTGCAGCTCTTGGGATGTTTCGGGGGGCTCCAACGACGTGAAGAACAACATCGCATCGCGATCCATGCAAGAAGAAGGAACGAATCATGTTGCGTGTGATACAACATCCACTCCATTGACTCTGACTCCGGTATGCATGAAGTGGATCCATGGTTCAATTCGTTCAATTCTTTGCAGCTGCCGTGCAGAAGCACAACCCCAAAACTCCGTTTCCATTCAATATCCTTTTCGAGAACGGAGTATGGGGGTCTCTCTGGCCAAGGTCTGTCAGGCCCGTTTTGCACCTGCATTGCCTGCGCTGGGTGGCCAGCCTCAGTTCTGTGACCGACAGGAGAGGGTGGGTCAACCTGTGGGGTCAGTAAGCTGCAAAACAAGAGATAACATGTCCCACCATCGGCTCAGCTTGTTATTTTGAATCGAATATCCAAGGAGTTCAACATGCAAGCCAAATTGGTCATCCAACATCTATGAATCAATATGAATCATATCGTTGGCCTTTATCTGACACCGAAAGCTATCAGTTTGGGAGGTGCCGCATGAAATTCTCGAGTGTCAAGCGTCATCTGAGGTCAACGCCAACCACCGTTGTTGCGATCGGCACCACCGGTGGCGGTGCCGCCGGCGTCGCCGCTGGCGTCACTGCCGGCGTGGCTGCTGGAGTGGCTGAAATGGCTGGGTGTACCTCTGTTGGGATGAAGCGGTGCAAGTTATGTGGAGAAACACATGCTTGATCAGGTGCATTGACCTTGTATCGGGTGCGACCTTGTTAGTATTTTCCTTCTGCCCAACCACCAATGCTACAAAAGGTTGATCAAATGCTTGACACCATCCTGAGCGTTCGCTCATGGCCCACCAAAAAAAACCTTGGGAACCATCCTGTTTGTCTTTTTGAGTGGTCTGTGGTACTATATATATATATATTTAATCAATAGTCACCTGATTGCCTTTGTCTGTGCAAAGAAGCACATCAGAAATAACAAATGAACACCTTGCTTCATGTTTTGTGTTGGAACAAAGAACAGTTTTCTGGTGGATGACGTGATCTGCACAAGCGTGCAATGCATTGTGCTCACTAAGGCTTGCGCATGCGCTGGTAGCACAGTGCTCACCGCACGGGGAGGTGGATTTCCTGGCAAGGTGCTCAAGCACAGGCTCAGATGCACAGTGCGTAAACAGCAAATGGTCAGGAAGGAGGATCCTGACAAATCTAAGCATTCAATTGAGTCAGTCCACATGTCTTTTCCCTCTTGGTAGTTATATGCTGAATTGCCCGAGCACACAACGTGCCAACTGATTGGAGCTTGTAGCGTGTCATCCTATCTCCTTGGTAAGCATGATGTGTGTTTGGATTGGAACCTTCAAATGGTATCATGTTTGTACCATGCTTCCTCAAATTGCAAAAGAACATCGTCTCCTGGGAGCATTCATCATTCTGTAAAGGTCTATATAATTACCTCTATGAGGCATGTAAGTCATGATGCGGCTGCATAAAAAGTCCTTCCCTACTTTCTTGCTAACTCTCAAAATTTGATCTGGAGAGCCTGGTACTGTGAGGCTCACCAGCCCTGTACGAACCATCGACATGCCGACGAGATGCCACGAGAATCACCGTACATCCCGGAGAAGCACATCCGTGGCTTTTCGAACTCTGTGGTGCTTTTGTCCATCAACAGTGTGTAGCAGTGCCTGTGAATGTGCCAGCCAGAACGTCCATTTCGCTTCACGCGTTTTGTGGATCTTTGTCGCCAAGGTGGTCACACTTCCAAAGAACCCACTGGGCGAGTCATGATGATGATCCTACCCACCTCTGAACTCCAAGAGATGTGCAAGCAGTCCACACGTTGGATTCAATCCCCTCATTCCACTGAGCAGTTCCAGTGCCTGGAAGGCTTCGACGCGAAAGCAAGGCACCACTCCTGAAGGGGTCGGGCTTCTGGTCTTGCCAGAGCGAGGATTCACCCGAACATGGTTCCACCGTCCTCCTCCGGTGTGCGGGTGCATCCCGGTAGTTAAAAGATACCAACCCGGTGGTACAAACCCGGCAGGAGGGATATGATTGGATTCACTGAGCCACCCGGTGATGGTGACATCAAGCTGAGAAACCGGCGAACCCTCTGACTTCTTTGAGAAAAGGTAGTCCGCTCCACACAACTGGTGTGGTTGATATCCAGGTGTTGTTTGATTTGATGGGATTGCAGTATCTCCATTTTGGCATTCTGGTCACATCTTGTGGCTACTAGACTGAAGTGAAAGCCAAAAGCCGTTGAACACTCCAGTGGCGAATTAAAGAAGTTTCAAAAGCATTCAAGTATTGGAAGAATGTGGCTGACTTTGCCTGTGTGGCTTCAATAAAAGAGCCCAACCTCCCTTGTTCAACCATATTCAACTTGCAACAAGCGCCTCAGAAACTCTGCATGTAGTGCCTTCTCCACAAGATTCCCTGAAAAAATCCACGTCCGATCCCCATATCCTACTCTCCCTGCTGCGCCTGACCACAGGCGCGCTAAACCTGCAGCGCATGAGGCATTGTTGGTCGAAGCAGCCAGCTAACTACTTACTCTCCTGTGATCTCCTGTACTACCAGCCTCTGCAAACGCAAACCCTGGTAGACACCGTATAGATCCGTATAGCTATTCTATATTTACTTGTGACTTCGCCGCAAATCACCCAAATCCGATGAAAGCTTGGAAATGTCACCGCCAAAAGTCTGATAGAGTCCCTTTTTGGGATGCTTCTAAGTACCGGAGCTAAGCTGCCCCCAAGTGCTTGGGGGGGCTTGCTCAACGACGATGATGTGAAATGCTTGCGAGGCATGTCACCCTTTTATCAGTCCGGATCTCAATAGATCTCATCTCTGGGATTTGGGCTGCCGCAGGATGGCAGAACCATTGGTTGGCAAGGCGGGCCTGGGTCCGAAGTGTGCGAGTCCGTTGTTTATAGCCTAGCTGATCCCGGTTCTGAGGTCCTCAGCGAGGTTTCATCTACTGTATGTCACCACGGTTCAGACTGTGTGAAAAGGCGGAATCCCTGCAATGAAAGGACTTTGAAACCTTGACCCCCCACAAGGCCCACCTGAAGATCCTGAAATTGAATCATGGACCAAAACAAGACTGAAGTGTTCCCAGCCAAGGTCCCTTAAATGTTGCAAGATTTTTCCGTTTCAAAACAGAAAACTAAGGATCACTTGAGTCTAGTGGTGAAAAACTGTTGTTTGGGGATAAATTTTGTTTTTGACACGGATCCTAGCCTGCGAGTCCCACAGCCAATATGTCAAGTCTCTGGGACTCCAACCAACGGAGGCTTGCCCGAGTTCACAGCTGTGTGTAGTTTCCGTTCTCTGCAACTGATGGGTGATCTTCTGTCATGTCGGGGTCTCATTCTTTTTCGCCAAGATAGCCGTGAATCCCCACTCTGGAGCTGATCATCTTTTTCGTCCCCCCCAAGATCTGCCCAGCTTGGCACTCCCTCAAGTCTGGTCAGCAGCTTCACTCTCTTTTTCATTCAAATCTGGTCAAAGGCGAGCAGTTTGCTCCTGCGGCTGACTTCAAGTGGATGGTGATTGTAATTTAGCAATCTTTAACCTTTGTCTCGTAACATTCCTGGAAAGAACTAGTACAACATGCCAATGTGACGTGCACGACTCTTCACAACGTGCATCACGTGGACCCAGCCGGTGAACGGATGGCTGAAGAGATTGGAGCTGCAAAGCCAAAGAAAAGCCACCGATCCAACTGCTGGAGACCTCCAGCATCAAGGGTCTCATGGTGTTTGCCTTTCTGTGAGGACTGAAAAGCCTCAGAGTGGGAGTTTTGGGGTGCGAGCTTTAAGCGTACAATACCAGCTTTGTTCTAACGAGCTGCGGTTGTGTTGGTTGGTGAATCTCTGCTCATCCTCTTGGAGTCCTTTTGCTCGGAAACTGGTCGAAAGTGATCAACGTGTTGGGTCAACGGGGGGGCGTTGCCGGAAAGCAAACGTTTCCGACCACGGAACAGGGTTCTCCGGGGTGGGTGAGGGAGGGGTTGGGGGGGGCTGGGGACAGCTTCGTTCGTGTTACTGGTTGCGCAAGCCGAACTTCACGTTTCTTTGCCGGCGTCGTGACGTTGTATTCGCGGTTCCTTCGATCTTCGCGTTGCGCTTTTGGGCGTTGCGATGCGAAGCTGCAACGAGAGCACGTTGAAGGCCTCGCAGCATTGTGGTTCAGCCAACATCCAGGGTTGGACTCAATGCTACAGGCTGTGAAAATACACAGAGAGGCTGTGCAAGACACTTGTCCGCCAGCTCAAATGTACAGTGAGCTGTCACGGCTCAATTGAGAAGAGGACTGATGTCGTGGCGCATGGGACTGACTTGTCTTTGGATGGTCTTAAAAAAAACCTAAATATGAACTCAAGTTATCGTCAGTTGAGTGTCCCGAAACCAAAAATACCCTGTGAAACGCATTAGTTTTCTGGTCCTCTGCATGTTGCAGTCCGGGCAACCCCCCCCTGTTTACCCAACATGTTGTTTTCCCCTCCATGTCTTGCCCAACAAAAGAAACATGTACAGTAACTGAACCCAACAATCCCCAACAACAACGACCACAACCACAACCACAACACCCCCAACAGCAACAGCACCAGCACCAGCACCAGCAGCAGTCTCCTCCTGCCAAAATTGATTCCTCGAATTTTTCAAATGACTTGCAGAAGTGCATGGCAATGCTTTGGCGCAGTCTTCTTTTTGGATTTGTGATTTTTGTTTTGACAGTGAACAGCCGCAGAAGTCGACTCCTGCTTCATCCTCTGCTCCCAGAGCCGGCCGCGTTCCTGCGAAGTCAAGTGGAGCATCGTGCGCGAAGTCAAGTCCTCTTCTAAAGCAGCTCGGAGCCTCCAGTGGGACAAACAGAACAGCTATTAAGAAAGTAAGTCTACTCGTAGCCAAAGGTCCTTGGAGGGTCTCTTTCAATCCTTGCCTCTGCATCATACATTCTGCATTAACATACAACCCTGCACCAACTCAGGCTCCAACTACCTCCAGAAAAAAAACGCGGGGTGCCCATCCAGAGCTGCGCTTCTGCGGGCATCCTCCCCCCATCACCACACCCACGACCCACCCTGGCCTCTGCGGTGCGGAACATGGCCACCACCTGGCGATCGGAACTACGGTCGGTACGTGAGATGGTGGTACTGGTCTGGTGAGACGACCTGCTGGGGTCTGATACTGGTCTTGGTAGATCTGATAGGTCGGGTTGCTCGGTCTTGGTGACTAAGAGTTCTGATCTGAGTGCGAGCTGTACGCTCGAAACTGATCATTGTTCATCGGTCAAAGATCAGGAGCTAGACTTTGAGTTTCAAAATGTGCAATTATATGCAATGACGTTTCTAAAAATAAGCAACTGCCTTTACCATGTTCGACCATGTTTTACCCAAACGATGCATTTTCTCTATCACTGGAAAGGCAGCTCACCTATATGATCCTTCTGGACATGAGACCGTCCGTGGTATCCTGTGGCCATTGAATCAAGGACACATGCTAGGATGAGCTGCAAACTCACCCACAAGCAAAGTGTTTCTGCACTCAGGGAAAGACCCCAAATCGCAAGCACCTGAAAGCCACACCCCCATCTCAGTTGGGTTTGAACAAAGCAGTGGAATCCCACAAGAACCTGCGCTGGAGCATTGCTGGTCTTCAGCTTGGCCATGACCTGCCCACATGAGCTGCATACGCTGCATGCACTGCATCCCACGAACAGCCGCGGGGGGAGAACGGTGCTTTTTGAACACCAAACGACTGTCATTGTCCTCTCAGAACTGAGTCCTTCCTCTATACCTTGCACCATCTTGCATGTTGACCTAGTGGAATCTGTGAATCTGATGGATCCTTCGTTCAGATGGCCATCCCTCTAGAACTTGAATCCCGTGACCTTCTTGAGCAAGCACAAAGAAAAGCCGTCTAGGGGAAGGTGGTAGGCCAAGCGTGGGCCAGGCCATTTCCATGAATTTGATTTTCTTCGAGCAGCCAGGTCATTCCATGACATGGCCAGGATGGCCAGGGTCACAGTTTCTGTGCCTTCAAAAAAAGACTGTGTCTTGTCTACAGTGAAATACAAGGTCCCGTGATTGAACTGCGGGCATTGAGGGGCCCTATGTCCAATTTACGTGTCAACCCGCAAGCTACGCACAACTTGCTCGTTTTCTTTGCTGGTTGGCCGACCTTGCATCTTTGGCAAGCTGGTGGGCTGTAGGGTCCACGAAACTGCATGAAAGGCCGAAATGGTCCACAATTGCATCGCTTGGTGGACTTGGAACGTGGATTAAAAGTCTAAAGACTGTCGAAGGCATTCGAAGGCAACGATCAACAGTCTGCTCATCGAAAATTTGTTCCTGTTGAAATTCCCCCCTTCCTTTTGGGTCAAGCCTGTTATGACTTTGACAGCCCTTGCGTATCATGAGAGAGTCCCTTGGACGACTGTGGGTCTCCAAGCTTCTCAAACCAAAGCTGTACAGCATCTCATCACATCATGGGACCAATCATGGGGCTTCTGCGTCCCGACTTGCTGGTCTCTGCAACGATGGTCTATCGAACTATATATTGCTTCGAATCACTCTCTCCAAATCTGCAAATCATCACTCCAAAAAATGAATAAAATCCGTTTTCTGGTTGAACCAATCCCTGTCCTTCCAAAGAACCAATCTGTGTCGCGCGGATGGCCCGGCAGCGTGACTCCTCCACGGAGCAGCTGCGAAGTCCTCGACTCCGCCATTCGCTGCCCGGTGTCACTTCAGCCACTTCTCGGCCCGTCGTCCATCCGAGCAGTTATCAGACTGGAAAACAACAACACTTAATAAAACATAAATTGATAGTTGATGGTATAGTTGTGTCAAATGAATGATGGCGATATTAAAAGGGCAATAATTGATTATACATGATTATGCTATAAGCTATACATGCATGTTGGATAAAGGGAAAAACTGAACCCTTCATGTGTGGGCATCACTTAAATCTGGTTCTTCAACAATTACACCTCAATCACCTGGCAATGCTCTGCCAGCCGTGCGGTGCGGTCTCCAGGCACCACCTGCCAGCGCTCAAGGCATCCCTTGGTGGCGAAAGCTTCAAAAGGACCGAAGAGCGTAGGGCCTTCCAAGAGGACTTGGTCGTTAAGGACCTGTTACAACGAGTTGCGCCCTTCTAAGCGCTACACCCTTGATTTGCCAATTTGGAAGGGCTGAAACCAATGCCAACATGTTTTTCGGAAATCCACCAAACTGGAGCAAAGAGATACAGTACATAATGGGGCATCTCAGGCAGAAAGACCTCGGAATGTTTGTTGGCAGAAACACCTCCTCAAAAGGTGCTTTGACGATATGCACGCCGATTCACTAAAATGGAAGTGGAAAACCGGGCTGAAAGTCGTTTCTTCCAGGGCCATGTTCCACTTCCATGTCAGTCAGCGGGAGGATATGGTATTCCTTCGACCATAAAAACGTGAACCAGAGTACCTCTGTTTATAGACTTTATGCCTTGTTCGGCAAACACGTCACGGCAAGACGCTAACACGATTTCCAAGTGTGGGCAAGCTGGGCATGGCTACCCTCACCAGTTCGCCAAAATGAGATGAAGCTGTCGTCTCCATGTGAAAACATCTGTGGCCCACTGAGCCATCGTATTTGACCATAGCTTCCTTACTAACCCTCTCCTAGACCCTGCCGCCTATCAAGAGGTCCTTGGGAAAAAAAACATAAAACCAATGAAACAATAGGGCAACACTAATCGCCAACCACATCCAGGAGTGGACAAACTTAAACAGACTTCAGTCATGTGGGTCCTGCCCATAAAAATATAAAAAATTGCCTGGCCCCCTAAGGTTCAAACGTGAAAAGAACATCCAGGTTATTCTAGAGGTCCACATAATCTATGATCATCTTCAAACACAATGCATCAGTTGTAAACACATGCGAATCCAGCCCAAAAACCAGCAAGAACGGCTTGCCAACAAACCGTCCAACTCCAAACGACCATGCTGTTGGAGTGTCTTGCCGCGTCTTCTGCCGTCCTCTCCCGTCTTCCACCGGGCCTCACCGACGATCCAGGCCTCAGCTTCTGGGCCGTCGAACTCAGGGGATTGCAGGGCCGAAATGAAGTCCTGGCAGTCCGCGCCGTTGGACTGAGGGTCGTTGCCAGGTAGACCTCGTGGTGGTTCACGACTGGGGGGGCCCCACCCCTGTCAAAGACTCCACCAACAGGTGAAAGGCCCACATCCTTGATATATCTTTATCTTACTATAATCTGTTCATGGTCAGGGTTCAACCGGTCGATTCCCCGGGTTTTGATTCACAGCCATCGACGCCTGCGAACCTTCAACAGATCTAACCTCGGAAACTTCTCGTGTGTCTCCTGCTTCGGCGCTTCGGGTTGGTCACCCAATCCGGGGTCGTTGGTGCCGTTGTGCCAGTTCAGTGCCAAACTCATCCAAACTCTCCAGTCGGAAAATGTTGAATTATGTTGAATTCATCTTACTTGGTGACCGGTGGAAGATTTGGCCACTTGGTCCGGGCGCTCTTCTAGCGCCTGGTGCAACCAGTCAAAGTGCGGATTGCAGGGCAACGATCTACCAGCTGAGACAGCTGTGAATGGTGTAAGAATGCAGATTTCTGTGATGCATCTGTCCCTGCCAGTCATTCCACTCCCCGGCTGGCAGTCCTGTGCAGAAGGTCGCGAGGGCAAAGCCACCAAGAGCCCACCAGAGGTCTCGGCGGAGAAGCCTGAGATCCACTGCCAGGTTCGTTACGACTGGACCCTTCCAAGCCTATGTAAACGTGTCTCCCTTCAGAGGACGGGTATGTGAATCAGGAAGGGCTGCGGTAAGACTATAGTTATATAGTTATACCTAGATCTTCAGTCCGGCACTTTTACAGGGTCCGGCGCCGGACTTCCAACTCCGGCGTTTTTCTGGATTTGGTCCGGCGGTTTTTCCAAGTCACTTGAAATGTGGATTCTCAAGGCTTTGCATTCTTTGTGGCTTGCATTTCTTTGAAGGTAATGATTTGCTTGCAAAGTGTGCTCGTTTGCCTGTTCCGCTGTTTTCTCATTCCACCGGTTTCAGCATGGTTCACACTGGATCAATCAGATCCGTTTAGGTGATCTTCTAAGTGAAATCGGATGAAATTGGTACAGTGCGATGCACGTGTTGAAAGACCCAAGTGGGTGTACCTAAGCTGAAAGAACATAGGCAAAGATGTACTCCCATTGTTTCAGGATGTCGGGGCGCTGGGATATAATTAGTTCTAGTTGCGCAGGTTTGCAGAGCCTGCCGGACAAGTTTTGGGCTGTGGAACATGTGTTGTTCAGAATCTCAATGTTTTGCAAAGAGTTGCTAAGAAAAATTGCACGTCGTAACTCCGGCGTTTTTTCCCGTAACTCCGGCGTAATTTCCCGTAACTCCGGCGTAATTTCCCGTAACTCCGGCGTATTTTTTTGCACGTCGTAACTCCGGCGTTTTTTCCCGTAACTCCGGCGTAATTTCCCGTAACTCCGGCGTAATTTCCCGTAACTCCGGCGTATTTTTTTGGACTCAGTCTTTTGAATTTTGAAAAGTTTTTCAACTAAGAGTTTCGACAGGAACCATGAGTGCTGCTACTTTATTGGCGGGGCCGTCCTGAGGCAAGCAATAAAAAACAATTTAAAACCATATAAGAATCATGGAGAGCCACTTTGTAAAAAACAATTAGAGACACGGGTGCAGAGAAATAGGGGTTCCTTGCCACATACTCCTTGGTTTCTTCTTGGAAGTCTTTGCTTGGGCACAAGTTTGCTTATATTTTGTGATGGTTCTGCTCTTAGGCCATTCGGAAGATGGGCGAGGGCAATGGGAACGGGAAGGCTCCAGTGCTGGGTTGTGGAATGAGTGTGTTCCAGAAAAAACTACTTGTGGCGCAAAGGCAGTTTGCTTGTGTATGATCCAGCCTTTTATCATCTCTGTTTTTCAGAATCTTGGATCCGGATGTTTTTTCAGGTCTCCGGCGTTTTTTTCGGAATCCGGCGGAAAATTTTGCCGGATTGAGGTCCGGCACTTTTTTCCGCCCAAAGGAGGATCCAGGTATAAGAGGTCTTGACTTGTTCTCGATTTGCATCTGCTGGAGCCACTTTGGAGCTAAGGATGTAAAACAAATGCCCACTTGAACAAAGTCACAGCTAACCACCGTGCGAGCGAGTCATCACAACATATTGATTTACCGCATTTCGCAAGGAGTGGCTGTGGCTCAAAGTGGGCCCCTATGCCTTTACGAGACCCACCTGCCAAGGCATCTGCTTTCAAAGACACGGTAATTTGTATTATTTGCACCTGGTTCTGCCACAGCTGAGTGGAGTCATACAAACTGCGCAGATTGAACCATGTTCCTTGTCAAACTTGCGTTCAATCTTTTGGAGCAACACGCATCCAAACAGTGACTAAACAAATGCAAAAGCTTTTCCTCCATTTGCTGTATACATCTTAAGCTAAGGAGTTCAGTGTTCTCTTCGGCACCGCAAGCTTCAGCCAAGAAGCCTTTGCTGAGTTGGTAATTGGCATCCACACAACTCTCCAGCGCCAAGAGCCCCCCTGACGGCGACGGAGAAATGATTGGGGACTTGTTGCCAATGTGCAACCCAATCAACTTAAAAGCCACCGATAACCGATGGATGGTGGATATAGTGTGGATA